TGCCTTGCTAAGTTGCAAACACTGGAAGCCCACACAGGGCAAGACAATAGGGTCAGCTCATTGTAGCCAGGCTCAAGGCACCCTGAGTTGCCTGGTATTCTATCTAGTACCTTCACTAGCCTTAACTAAACTTGAAGACCCTCTTTCCTCAAAAGTCTATAAACGTATTTTCCTTTGTTCTCGTTTTTGTTGTTACTCCTACTCCAGATTCCCCAGAAGCAGGCAGCATCACTAAAGGATATTTCCTTAAATCTGATTCAGTGCATCTCTCTAGTGAATCTCAAAAGAATCTTTATTACTTAAAACAGTTTTTATTCCATCTACAGATATAGAGAATGTCATTTTGGCATATTAAAATTCTTATTATACACATATTTAGGAAGTTATAAATTGTATAGCTCAGAAAATTTCTCTTAATTCTAAAGTATGAATTATTTTATTTAAAAAGCAACTATACAAAAGTACTACTTTAAACACCTTCAGCACTTGTCAGGAGACACTGCACTTTTATTAAGGTTGAACATTTTGTGGATATGCCTAATATCATCTCATATACATTACAAACAAAAGAAAGTACAAGGGCCAGAAAGATGAATCAGTAAGTTAAAAGGTGTTTACCACCAATACAAACAACATGAGCTTAAATCCCAGGATCCACATGTTGGAAAGAGAAGAAACTTTGGCAAACTGTCTTCTGGCCTCCACACATGCAAAGTGTGGCACATTCATTGATACATGTACAAACACAAACAAATGAATAAATGATTTTTTAAAAAACTCTTAGGGACTGGAGAGAAGGCTCAGTGGTTAAGAGCACTGGCAGCTCTTCCAGAGGACCTGGGTTCAATTCCAAGCAACCATATGGCAGCTCACAAATGTCTGTAACTCCAGTTCCAGGGGACCTGATGTCCATGGCGAATTACCAATGCACATAAAATAAAAATAATTTAAAAAAAATCCTTTTTAATAAAAAACAAAACAGGCTCAACCTATATTGGACATTTCCACCCCTTGTGGTGAATGAAAAGTCTCAAACCAAAGGCAAATAGCTGAGGTGTCTACTTAACATATCAAAGCACACCTGGCCACCAGGTTCTCCCAACATCCCTCAGTCCCTACCTGTTACCAGGGTATGACTGGCATACCCTGTCTCCTACTCTAAACTTCTCCAGCCCAGGGGCTGGGTTGCCCTTCCCCTAGCTGCTCTTCCCTATATAATTCAGCCACTTTAGCTAAACTGATTTTGTTCACTCTGGAACTTTTTTTATCTACAATAAACCTACTCTTTAATCTACTTAGAAACAATCGTGTCCTTACTTTTCTTTTCCTTCATTCTTAATTTTTTTTCTCCTCTTATTTTCACTCAATCCACCCTCAAATAGTCCTGCAGCAGTTCTAATTCCTTTCTGGATCCCCTTGTTGTCCTCTGAGGCCCGAAAGTCACTAAGAGTAGAGCTCTGAAACCCTTCTACATTCCATTTCAGCCAAAACCAGACAGATTAGTCCAATGCTACTTTCCTAAATGACTTTAGGGCCTCAACTCTTCATGTGTGTATTGTGGGAGAAGTTGTTAGATAGATAATTAGGTATTAGCAGACTGAGAAGGCACTGAGTTAAGAAACCAATTAAACAAAAGTCTGGCATAGCAGGACTTTAATTATTGGTAAGAAGAATGTGATCTGATTCTTATCTCTGGCCCTAGAGGCATCCTGGGGTACCTAAAGAAACATTAACAGATAACTAAAGCTGGCTCCAACAGCTCTGAACTTTTAAAGATTTTTATGTAGAAGGAGACACTCTTGATAAAGAGTAAGGACACACCATTGCTCCCTCCTAGAAAAAGGAGTGGGGAGAGGGGGAGAGGAGTGGGGGGAGTGGGAGAGTAGTGGGGGGGGGGAGGAGTGGGAGGAGGGGGAGGGAAATGGGAGGCGGGGAAGAGGCGGAAATTTTTTTCAACAAAGAAATAAATTAAAAAAATTAAAAAAAAAGAAAGAAAAAACAATCTAAGCAAGCCCATCAACCACTTCAAAGTCCCCCAGGAAAATCTACACTACGCTGTGTGTTTTGTCTCTATTCTTGATGGAGATCACAAGGAGTCAAGGCCAAGATTCCAGTGACAATATGACTTACTGACTTAATTAGCCATTTCACTTCAGGTCGGAAATAAGGACAGAATTATACCAATAAAGGCATTACCATTTTCAACTGAAGAGAACAGAGAAAACAGGAAAGAACAAAGGTCAAGTTGTGTTTCTTCAATTTCAGAGGACCACACCACAGTTAGAGTGGGTCAGAACAACCTACTCAGAGCCTCAGGGGCAGGATTGTGCTCACAAATACAAGCATACAGGTGGTGACTCAAGAAAGCAGATAAAGGCAAATCCCTACACACACAAAAAAAAAATTTAAGACCAGCAATATGACTCAGCCAGTAAAGACTTCTACTGTGCAAAGCTGGTGACCTGGGTTCTATCCCTGGAACCTATGTAAAAACAGAAGCAAAGAATTAACTCCACAAAGTTGGTCTCTGACTGTACACTGCAGCATGTTTGCCCACATACATGTCAAACATAGATACATACAATAATTTTTAATAACTAAATAAACTGAATGCCTTATAGAGCTAGAAGGCATGGCACTAGCTCCCTAATCGAAGAGCAAAGCACTAAACCAAATATCATTTTGAATCTTTAAGTAATGGAATTTGTTATCTTTCACAATTTTATGATAGCTTGTGTAGGGGCTGAATTATGCAGGCCTATAATTCTGAGAATTCTGAGAGACCTACAAGAAGGTGGTAGCCTGGCTTTTTGATAGTAAGATAACGTGATGCCACCCTAACAAGTGGTCAGGGTATGCTAATGTCATTCTGCTCCTTCTATTGTAAATTAGGAATTTGCCTGGAGAAGAGATGTTTTCAGTAGACATGACAAAAGAGGCATAGGCGGGAGGGGACCTAAGTCATCCCCCGCCCCAGGAAACAGAATGCTAATGAACTTCCCCCTCAGTTTTCCTTTGTTTAAAAAGAAAGCTGTTTGGAAAATAAATGGTGACTTTTCAGGATGTGATTTGAGATTTTCAGGATCTGAAAGATCCCTGAACTCCCTCCAAATACTGTCGTATGAATAGCATCTTCATTTCCATGCCTCTACTCTGGTATAAGAAATTACTTATGTCGGGGCTGGTCCCCGACAAGCTTGAAACACGTACCCCCTTTCTTTCTTCCAATTTCTCCCTTTTAGAATGAGAATCTAAATCCTATTCTGGATTCACTATTGTATTGTAGAAGTACCTATCACAGGTTCACAGCTGTGAATGCATCTGAGTTTTGCTCATATCTGATTAACAATTAGAGGAGATTTTGGATTCTAGACTATTGAGAACCAATACTGGAGTGTGTTAAGACATTTGGATTACCAGGATGAAATAAACATATTTTGCAAGTGATAAAACATTACTGGGGGGGGGGGGATGTAACAGTATAGACTCGGCTATCCCTCCCAAACTCAAATACTGATGCCTTAACTCACACACACCCATGCCTATACGAGAGCCTGGGCTTTAGAAGAAGAGATTAAGGTTAGATAAGATCAGAGAAGGGATTGCCTGAAACAACAAAATTGATGCTCTTGTTGGAAGAGGTATCAGTTCTTCTAAAATCTGAGAATACAAGGAGACTACCAGCAGGCTACAAAAAGACCTCACCAAAAACCAAACCCTTATAGGACCTGGCTCTTACAATGTCAAGCCTCCAAAACTATGAGAAAATAAACTTCTGTGTTTAAGTCACAATCTCAAGTATTCTGTTATAGCAGTCAAAGCATACTAGAATGTGTGAATATGTTTTATTACCATTGGTTAATAAAGAAGCTGCTTTGGCCTATGGCAGCGCGTAATACAGCCAGGCAGGAAAGCTAAACTGAATAGAGGGAGATGTCTGCAGCCACAAAGGAAGCAAGAATTGAGGTAACAAACCATGAGCCTTATGGTAAAATATAAAACAATAAAAATGAGTTAATTTAAGATGTAAGTTAGTTAATAAGAACGCCGAGCTAATAGGCCAAAGAGAATATAATTAATATTAAGTCTCAGAGTGGTTATTTCATAAGCAGCTTTGGGAACAGGTGGGCAGAGAAATACCAGTCCAGGAGGACCAGTGGGACAGAGAATACTTCTAACTACAATATCTCAGTAATGCAGTTATGAAGTAAAACCAGCGCATGAGAATCAAGGACTGAACCAACTGAATTACATTCCTACCTCAGCACTATTTATTTCCAGATGTTTACCTACATGTATATATGTGCACCATGTGTACACAGAGCCCAGGAAGGCCAGAAAAGGAACTGGAATTGGGAACCAACCATGGTCCTCAACAAAAGCAGCAAGCACTCTTAACTACTAAGTCATCTATCTCTCTAGCCTCCAGCACAATCATTTTTATGAGTGAAAACTAGCCATGTATGGTGGCAGGTGCCTGTAATGCCAGCACTCAGGATGAGATCAAGTCATACTCAGCTACAGCAAGTTTGAGGTCAAGCTAGGAGACAAGGAACCCTGCTTCAACATAAAAACAACAGTGAGGGTGAACATACATATAGCCATACACATACAAACTAGTCACATCACTTAATGGGTGCTAACTGGCGTGTTTTCGGGTTTTAAGGCTCAAATGGAAGGTTTGGTGCATGCTAAACATATATTCTCTGAATATCTCTCAAGATTTCTCGTTTTAGTTAAAGATTGGAAAGTTCTAAAATACGCAATCTTTAAAATGTTCAGCTCACAGAAACAACAGATCAGCTCTTAAAAAGAATTAAATGAAGAAAATTAATCAAACCGAGAACCATTAGCACAACCAAACACAAATTAACTAACCTTGTGGTTTTGTTCTTTAGTAATCTTTACTTTATAAAATCACAAACCAAATTAAATCAGAGTAAGAAAAAAGACACTAATCAGAAGTGACTAAAATCAAAGTAAAGTAGGGTGTTACTTACGATAAAAGAAAGGAACAAACTCCACTGTGAGAGAAGCTGGCTTGTATTTCTGTCTGCTCTTTTCCACAGAACTAAGGATTCGTCTATCATTAAAAAAAAAAAAGGTCAATAACAAATTATAACATGAAAAAGCAGAGGTGGCACAATTTAAAAAACAATTTCAAAACAAATTTAACATCCTGATTTTGGTTTGCATACGGAATAAACATCTTCAGGACTGGTACAATGTTCAAAGAGAGGTTGAAACAACAACTTAAGTCCTTACCGATTAGAGAACATTTTTATTACGCATTGTGATAGCCAACTTAAGTCTCCAAATAACTGGGATTTAAAAAGAAACCAGCATTTAAATTCCCAATCTGCAGAAGAAATTGCAAGGCAGTCCTGAGAAAGTGATAGCTACAACTATGACAGTATTCCTCGGAGACTGCAGAAGCCAGTGACTGACCTGTGCTTTACTGAGGTTTTATTCAGAAACAGTGAGTCCAGACCTTTAAGTTCCCTCATTTTAAGGATGCAAATTCAGCAAAAAAAGGGGGGGGGGATTATCTTTTAATGAAGAACCCAGGAGTTTTCATGGATATTTTCTATAAACTTTAACATGGCCAAAAATAAAAAAATGTATGCAGGCTTCTACTAAGAACACGTCAGTCATTTCAGTTCAACACGAAATAAAATCGCTTAGATAGCCAAGGTGATAAAAATATTGGAGAATAAAGCCTGTTATAACCAATAATATTATCAAATAGTGGAATGGCGAAATTAACAACTAAAATTAAAATTATAGGGATTTTTATCATGTCCTGAAAAGTATGTTTAATATTATTAAAAACAATGAATGGAAAAATACCTGAAACTACCCAGAAATTCTGTATATCTTTAGGCTACAGGTATACACCAGTCTCCCCCTTTCTAATAAGAAGTTCTTATTTTGGACTTTGCTTGGTGCTTTCTCACAATTAGGCTTAGACTATGCATTCATAGTTGAACTACTAAATATTACAGAGACAATAACATCTTTCTCAGTATCATGTGTGAAGTTCTCACTGATCATAATTTTGGTTACCCAGTCAACTTTTATTATAGTGAATAATACTGACATTATTAATTTTTCACTTACAAGTAACTAGTAATGTATACAAAGACATTTTAAGCATTTATGTATTACGCTGCTAATCAGAACTTGCCTCTAGATTTATCATTTATTAATGATCTGTGACTGACACAATCTTAAACTCTGACACATAAATCAAAATGCTGATTTTATTTCAACTCCAACATCATCTCTGTATTTATTAATTGGCACTTCATAATCTACTACTACAAGAAATTTAATTTTTTCTTTACCAAGTTACTTAGTAGTGGTATGAATTCATAATTTTTTTCTTAATAGTTTATTATTCTTTTCTGTGATTATTTTTTGTGCATATATTGTCACATTTGGTAAACAGAGCTTAGGGCATAACTAAACAATTTTTTTTCTCCATGGACAGGCAATGATACCTACTAAACTTACAATAAGCACAGTAATGAACTAATAAACATTTGAATAAACAGCTGAATAAGCAAACAAGCATTTTATATACCCCTGCCCCCAGCCTGGTGGTAGGATGGAATCTGGTCTCTAGGGAATGGTAGGGAAAGCATTTTACCACTGAGCTATATCTTAGACCCATACTTTAAGGAGAGGGTTTTGCTGCTGTTGCTGTTGGGTTTTTCATTTTGTTTTATTAGTATACTTTAGTTCCTCTGAGTTACTATTTAAGAATCTCCAAGCCGGGCGGTGGTGGCGCACGCCTTTAATCCCAGCACTCGGGAGGCAGAGGCAGGCGGATCTCTGTGAGTTCGAGACCAGCCTGGTCTACAAGAGCTAGTTCCAGGACAGGCTCCAAAACCACAGAGAAACCCTGTCTCGAAAAACCCAAAAAAAAAAAAAAAAAAAAAAAAAAAATCTCCAAGTACAATCGAAATAAAGTTAACAGATTAAGGTAATTTCCATGAAATATTAAAAACATCCCTTATGCCATTTAAAAACTCTTCATTTTAAACATTCCTGAATATGAAACTATGCTGCTTTAACTTACATTTGTTCAACCTGATTCTTTTGGTAAATAGTACACTTATTATAAATGACCATTTAATTTCACAATCAGTTTAAAGAAAAGATACAAACTACTGCTATGAGTCATTTGGATAGGTCTTCCATATTTTTCCTTGTAAGTGTATGACTGAATCTATCAAGTCAAAAACATTGAAATCTATCCTTACTTTGCCACTTGCCACTGAAACAGCTCTATTACTGAAGAAACTAAAAACTTCCTAGAATTCAACAAAAATGAAGGCACAACGAATCCAAACCTATGGGACACTATGGAAGCAGTGCTATGAGGAAAGTTCATAGCACCAAGTGCCCACATAAAGAAACTGGAGAAAGTCACATTTCTGACTTGAGAGCACACCTGAAAGCTCTAGAGCAAAAAGAAGTAGACTCACCCAGGAGGAGTAGAAGACAACAAATAATCAAACTGAGGGCTGAAATCAACAAAATTGAAACAAAGAAAACAATACAAAGAATCAATGAAACAAAGAGCTGCTTCTTTGAGAAAATCAACAAGATTGACAATCCCTTATCCAAACTAATCAAAAGATGGAGAGAGAACATCCAAATTAACAAAATCAGAAAAGAAAAGGGGGACAAACAACAGACACTGAGGAAATACAGAGAATCATTAGGTCATACATAGAAAATCTGTACTTCACAAAATTGAAAAATGTAAAAGAAATGCACAATTTTTTAGATGGATACCATATAACGAAATAAAATCAAGACCAGGTGAGCAATTTAAATAGACTTATGAGCTGCAAGGAAATAGAAACTGCCATCAAAATCAAAAATCTCCCAATCAAAAAAAAAGCCCAGGGATGGATGGTTTCAATGCAGAATTCTACCACATCTTCCAAGAAGAGCAAATACCTATACTACTTGAAGGGTTCCACATAATAGAAACAAAAGGAACATTGCCAAACTCTTTTTATGAGGCTACAGTTACCCTGATACCAAAACTACACAAAGACTCAACCAAGAAAGAGAATCACAGACCAGTCTCACTCATGAACATGAATGCAAAAATACTCAATAAATACTGGCAAGCCGAATCCAACAACACATCAAAAAAATCATCCACCATGATCAAGTCGGCTTCATTCCAGAGATTAGGGGTTCAACATACAAAAATCTATCAATGTAATCCATCGTATAAATAAAATGAAAGAAAAAAATGATCATTTCATTAGATGCTGAAAAAGCATTCAACAAAATCCAACACCCCTTCATGATAAAGGTCTTGGAGGATCAGGGATACAAGGAACATATCTAAATATAATAAAAGCAATATACAGCAAGTGACAGCCAACATCAAATTAAATAGAGAGAAACTCAAAGCGATTCCACTAAAATCAGGAACTAGACAAAGCTGTCCACTCTCTCCGTATCTCTTCAACACAGTTCTTGAACTTTTAGCAATAGCAATTAAGACAACAAAAGGAGATCAAAGGGATTCAGATTGGAAAGGAAGAAATCAAACTTTGTTATTTGCAGATGATATGATAGTATACATAAGAGACCCCAAAACCTCTACCAGAGAATTCCTACAGCTGATAGATACCTTCAGTGATGTGCAGGACACACAGAGCAACTCAAAAAAAAAAAAAAAAGAGTAGCCCTCCCATATAAAAATGATAAAAAAAAGCTGAGGGGGAAATCAGAGAAACATCACCTTTCACGATAGCCACAAATCACATAACATATCTTGGGGTAACACTAACCAAGGCAGTGAAAGACCTTTTTGACAAGAACTTTAATTCTTTGAAAAAATAAATTGAAAAAGATATCAGAAAATGAAAAGATCTCCCATGCTCTTGAATAGGAAGGATCAACATAGTAAAAATGGCAATCCTACCAAAGCAATCTATAGATTCAATGAAATACACATGAAAATCCCAACACAATTCTTCACAGACCTTGAAAGAACAATAATCAACTTCATATGGAATACCAAAAAACCCAGGATAGCCACATAAAGGAACTACCGAAGGCATCACCATCCCTGACATCAAGCTCTATTACAGAGCTACAGTAATGAAAACAGCTTGGTATTGTCATAAAAACAGAGATGTTAACCAATGGAATTGAAGACACAGATGTTAATCCACACACTTATGAACACCTGATTTTTGACAAAGAAGCTAAAATAATATAATGGGAAAAAAAAGTATCTTCAACAAATGGTGCTGGCATAACTGGATGTCAACATGTAGAAGAATGAAAATAAATCCATATCTATCCCCTTGCACAAAACTCAAGTCCAAATGGATTAAAGACCTTGATATAAATCTGACCACACTGAACCTGATAGAAGAGAAAGTGAGAAGTAGCCTTCAATGCATGGGCACAGGAGACCACTTCTTAAATATAACACCATTAGCACAGACACTGAGAGCAACAATAAATAAATGGGACCGCCTGAAACTGAGAAGTTTCTATAAAGCAAAGGACACAGTCAATAAGACAAAAAGGGAATGGGAAAGTAACTTCACCAACCCAACAACAGTCAAAGGATTGATCTCCAAAATATATAAAGAACTCAAGAAATTAGACATTAAAGTTCTAAATAACCCAATTAAAGTTTGGGTACTAAACTAAACAGAGAATTTTCAAAAGAAGAATCTCAAATGACCAAAATATACTTAAGGAAATGTTCATCTTCCTTAGCTAACAAGTCAATGAAAATTAAAACAACTCTGAGATACCATCTTACACCTGTCAGAATGGCTAAGATCAAAAACACCAATGATAGCTTATGCTGGAGAGGCTGTAGAGTAAGGGAAACACCCTTCCATTGCTGGTGGGAATGCAAACTTGTTCTACCCCTTTGGAAATCAGTAATGGCGGTTTCTCAGAAAACTGGGAATCAACCTACCTCAGGATCCAGCAATACCATTCTTGTGTGTACGTACAATGGACGTGTGCAAGCATGTGTGAAGAGGCACACAGTGTATGCATGAAGAACAAAGGACAATTTCAGGCATCAATTCTGGCCTTTTCCATTTTGATTGAGACAATGTCTCTTGGATTTCTATTGCATGAGCCAGGTTAGCTTGCCTGTGAACCTCCAGGGTTTTTCTTGTCTCCACTACCAATTTCTTCATAAGAACACCATGAGTATAGACTTTTATGCTCTCACATCAAGCTTTACATGAACGCAGGTCCTCAAGCATATGTTGCTCATAAGCTCACTGAGCCACCTCGTCAGGCCAATACTGAGGCTTTAACATTATGGTCACATCGGTGGTGCAGGCCTTTAATCTTAGCATTCCAGAGGCAGTGATGTAGGAGAGTCTTCTGTTTTGTGTTGATTTCATTAATAAAGAAACTGCCTTGGCCCTTTAATAGGACAGAAAATTAGGTAGGTGTAGTAGACAGACAGAATGCTGGGAGAAAGATGCCGAGTCAGGCAGTCGCCATGATTCTCCCACCCGACAAAGACGCAGGTTAAGATCTCCCTGGTAAGCCACACCTCGTGGGCTTAAAAAGATTAAAAATGGGTTAACTGAGATGTGAGAGTTAGCCAATAAGAGGCTGGAACTAATGGGCCAGGCAGTGTTCAAAAGAATACAGTTTCCGTGTAATTACTTTGGGTAAAGATAGCTGTGAGGAGCTGGGCAGGAACGCAGCCCACCCCAGCTCCTACTACAAGGCAGGTGACTCTCTCCAGCCTGGTCTATTTAACAAGTTGTAAGCCAGACAAGTTACAAAGTAAGACTCAATCTCAACATATCATTTATAAGACATACCCTGAAATTCTATGTCTCCAATTTCTATAAGGATCATATAAACTTTCACAGAATGCCAATGCATGGATCACAAATTCTTCAATAGATGTCTGATCAGCCATTTCCTTTTCCTTTTTTTTGCTTTTTAACTGAGAATAAAATTAAACATAAAAGTAAGGGCATGTTTCAATTATCAGCTTTCAATAAGTCATTTTTATTTACAGAAGCCTAATTTTGCTTTTGATTCTGTATGAGTCATTTAATTATATGGATTAGATACATTCTCTCAGATATTAAATTCTTCCTAGAATAAGTTTGAAATAGTCAAACATCTTTGGAAATCATACTTTTCAGCAAAATTTATAATCAATTCATACATAAAATGAAACATTGTGACATTTTTAAAAACTATAAAAAAATTTTAAATTAAAATAAAGTGTCAGGCAATGGTGGTGCACGCTGCCTTTAATCCCAGCACTCGGGAGTAGGAGACAGAGGCAGGTGGGTCTCTGTGAGTTCGAGGTCAGCCTGGTCTACAAATTGAGTTCCAGGACAGCCAAGGCTACACAGAGAATTTGCCTGTCTCTAAAAAACAAAACCAGCCAACCAACAAACAAAAAGTATAAATAGCTAGTCTATTTTTAGAAAATAAAGGATTTGGGACTGGAGAGATGACTCAGTGATTAACCAGAGGAGCCAGGTTCAATTCTCAGCAGCTACATGGCAGTTCACAACTGTTACACAGGCAAACTAATGTACATGAAATAAAAATGAATAAATCATTTTTAAAAAAATAAAATACAAGATTTATAAAATAGATTAATTATCTTTTCAATTACTACCTTCTTTGAAAACATTTAGCAATGTTAATAACAATATTAAAAAAACAAAGTCTCAATAAAGCAACAAAAAGGAATGTATTCACACCTACTTGCTGAATATACAGTGTTGTCATGGTAATAACATGATTAATATAGGAGCAAGTCCCAATTTCTTCTACATTTGATAAATTCCTAGAAGATAAAAGAATAACATTCATTATATATGAGCAATATATTGCTAGTGTATTCAGCGTGGATCCTGAGAACTGATACTGGCAAATAAAATATTAATGATATTAAAAAAGAAAATAATGCATAGAGCACTGCCATTATTCAAGTATGTACCATTACTTATTTCACTCTACTTTCTGAATTTTAGCTCCCTTATTTTGATTTATGTCCTATTTTGTAAACAGTTTCAGAAGTCCCACAACACAAGGGGTATTGCCATCTTTAAATATTCTAAGAGGACATAGCATTACATTCTGTTTAAAGTAGAGAGTCCTTAAGGACTTTAGTTGTGACACATACTAAGCTAATTTATGAGACCTAAATATTTTCTTGACATTACTGTTAAAAGTTTCGCAATAAAACTAATAAAATTTTCCATTCTGAGACACTGTGATCTATAAAATTTCTATCTTAAAATCTAGATGTTCAAAGAACAGGAAAAGTTAATAGACTTCACACCTTAAAAAATTAAACTATGACACCTTAGCGGTTTCTCTAACGTAGCAACAGTTAAAATTCTCTGTATTGGGACCAGAGATGGTTCAGTGGTTCACAACCATCTGTAACTCCAGATCAAGGGGATCTGACGTCCTTTAGCCTTCATAAGCAACTACCACATGTACATACACATTGTTTTAAATTTTAAAGTCTGTGTGTAGCCCACAATGTACTACATATAAATAATATGTAGCATGAAAAATGTTCAACATCATCAGTATGAAAATGACTTCCAGATTCACTGGAAACACAAGAGCAAAAAAGACACTGGAAAGACGAGAGCAGAAAAGATGGGATATACAGAAACTGAAACCTTCAAGCTGGTACGATTTTAAATTCTAATAGCTACTCTGGAAAACAGTTTGGCAGTTTCTTAAGAAATTAAAAATTCAGCATCATTGGGGTTGGGAAGATGGCACAAAGGGTAAAGGCATCTGCCACCAAGCCTGACAACCTGAATTACATCCCAGCAACACCAGGAGACAACCAAGTCTTCCAAACTCTCTCTCCCTCTCCCTTTCTCTCTCTCTCACACACACACACCTATTATACTATAATCAAAACAAAACTGAATGTCTTTATGAACTGATTAATAAGTTCTAAAACTGACTGTAGCAAAAGCACAATTTTTTTGTTTAAAAAAATGAATGACATTATTAAGTGGTCAATTACACGACCTGTGAATTGTCTCTCAGCAGTTATGTAATAAAATTTACAATTTTTTTTTTTTTGGTTTTTCGAGACAGGGTTTCTCTGTGTAGCAGAACCCTAGTTGTTCATGAACAAGGCTGGCCTTGACTTCACAGAGATCCACCTGCCTCTACCTCTCGAGTGCTGGGATTAAAACGCCCAACTTTAAAAGTTATATGAGAATTACTGCTGGGAAAAGAGAAAGGTCCAGAGGAAATGGACCTATAGGTAAAATTTTATTGAACTGTTCTTTGTTATCATTACAGTCCTACAAATAGCGAGAACACGTCTTTATGTTTAGTAGGGATAGCCCATCTGGTTGGTAACCGCAGTAGCCTTTAAGGATGCACCTCTGAAGCACAGGAAAAGCAGTGAAAGAACACTTACATACTAATAAAATGAACCCATCAACTGATAAGACAACCAAACATAACAACTGCCAGAGTGGGGACTACAGCGCTGGTGCCACCTATGCACTGTTTAATCCCACTCTCATGCATTCTTTCCTTCTCAGAACTACTCTCTTCTTCCCCTCTGCCTCCCATCCTCCCAAACAAAATAAAACAAATGGATCTACATAAAGAAGGACTTTTCAGTTTCTGATCCAAATTGAAAGTCTAAGTGTCATCACTGTCATGTTCACAATTAGAAAAAAACCCAAATGAACTGAATTTTTGTTTTGTTTGCTTGAGACAGGGTTTCTCTGTGTAACAATCTTTCCTTTTTTTTTTTAACAGATCCAACATAACAGTTTATTCAATACAACACCAAACATATATTGAGTAGTTATAGCTTAGAGATAAGTGAAATGAATTACAGTAGCATTGTGTTTTGTTTTGATTTTTCCTTTTATGTGTATAGGTGTTTTGCTTGCATGTATGTCTGGGTACCACTGTTGTCCAGTGCCCTCAGAGGTCAGAAGAAGGTATCACAATCCCTGCAACTGGAGTGACAGACAGCTGTGTGCTTCCATATAGGTGCTGTGGATACAAGTGAATATAACCTGGTCCTTTGGAAGAGCCCCAAAATACAGCAACATTTTTAGAGACTTCAGAAGGAAAATCTAAGGTCTCTTAGACTGACTGATGACTTTGCAGATAAAAAAACTAAAAGCATAATCCATTTGGGGAAAAAAGAGACTCACTAAAATTAAGAACTTCTGTGCCTCAGTATTAAGAGAATAAAAAGACAACTTGCAGAAAATGAAAAAAAAAAACCATGTACCAATCATCTGAAAAAAAAAACCTGTATATCAAAATATTTACAGACCTATCAAAATAAGAACACAATCTGATTTTAAAATTTGGCAAGACTTTTGTAGGTACTTCACCAAAAAACATTATGAATAGTCTCAAAAAAATGTTAAATATTTTATATCATTAAAGAACAGCAATAAATACTATACACCTATTGCAATAACTAAAAGCTAAAAGAATGACTATTGATGGAGGCTGCTTGTTTCTTTCCCGGATGCTCAGCCCCGAAATAATCACATAGATACTGTATTATTTGAAAAAAATAGTTATAATTATAATTTTCCTTATTTATGATAAAAGATAAAGTAGATATAAATATTGTAACTGTAATTCTTGCTTGAAACCTGTTTTATTATATGTAATTTTACTATGTTAAGAGTTAAATCCTTCCTTTTTATTTAGACAGAAAAAGGTAGCTGATGTATGCTGTAAATGTTTTATTGCCATTGGTTAATAGAGAAGCTGTTTTTGGCCAATGCCTTAACAGAGTAAAGCCAGGCTGAAAGAGATAGCGAGAGACACTATATAGCCACCTACAGGAGACAGATGTGCCTCACCTTGCTGGTCACGTGGCAATACACAAATTAATAGAAATGGGTGAATTTAAGATGTAAGAGCTAGCCAATAAGAAGCTAGAGCAACTAGTCAAGCAGTGATTTAATTAATACAATTTTTGTGTGATTACTTCGAATCTGGGTGGCCAGACATAAACAAGCAGCCTCTGCCAACAAATGGTATCATCAAATACTGAAAAATGTGACTGGAGAAAAGGCTTGGCAGTTAAGAGCACTTGTTGCTCTTCCAGAGGACCCAGGTTCAATTCCCAGCACCCACATGGCAGCTCACAATTGTCCATAACTCCAATTCCAAAAGATCTGACACCCTCAAACAGACATGCATGTAGCAAAAATACCAATGAACATGAAATAAAAACTGGAAAATGGGGAACAATGAGAATCCTCATTCATTGACTGTGATAATGTTATAACCATGTGATATAGCATTATTGTTCCTAGGTATTTGTCTATATGGGTTGAAAATTATCCATATAAAACCTGGACACAAAAATTTATAACACTTTTATAAATAACAGTCCCAAACTAGAAGCAACCAAGATATCCTTCAATATAGTTAAATAAACAAACAAACTGTGGTACCATTAAAGAATTATACAAACAAGTATCACTAACAAGTATTATTATAGTTTTGATAATAATTATGCTAAAATTTTTACTTTTAGAATAAATAAAAATTTAAAAATTTTTACACCACATACCTGCAAAGAATAATAAAGAATTTGACGAGCAAAATTGACAATGCTTGTTGCTGTTCCTCTAACCCATCTGCTGTTTTCTGAACACAATGTAGCAGCTGGATCCTCAGAACCTGAAGAATATTATCAGGAAGCAAAGATATTCCTGGAGGCATATCATCTACCCTGTCAGATATGGGCAAGGAGATAGTGTTGAAACTTAAGACATATAATTAATTAATTAAATGTAATAACAAAATTTCAAGAGTGGCTGGCTGTCAAGATTTGCAGCTTCCACCTGAAGTACAAACAGTCTCTGTCTTGCACGTGTGAAATCTGGGGCTGACCTGAGTAGCTAGTGTCAGACCACTGAGTGGATAGTAGCTCACCAAAGCAAAGAGGTTTCTAAGAGCCTGGTATAATACTGTCTAGGAAGACTGCTATGATCACTGTGCAATATCTGTCAGGAGAACATGGTCATGCAGTAGTATCAAGCTGTTGGCAAAGATGCTGGTCTTACATTAATAAAATTCTTTTGCCAAAAATTAATAATCTCACCCAGTGGTAATAAACCAGTGTTTCTACATACCTGGTAGGAAGCTTTTCAAAGTCAACATCTAAAAATTGTTCATAACTTAAAACAAAATTGTCCAACCATAGTCTCAGGTAATCTGGATCTTTCTGAAATTAGAAGATCATCACAATATTATCTGTCAGAAAAGCAATGCTTTCACACATAAATAATTACCTAAGTGGGAACAATAGCCATTCCCAGGATCACATCTGTCATCTGAGCATTCCCCCCCCGCCTTTGTCTCTTCACAGTTCTTTATGGCAGTCAAATTTCAACAAGTAGCCGGGCGATGGTGGCGCACGCCTTTAATCCCAGCACTCGGGAGGCAGAGGTAGGCGGATCTCTGTGAGTTCGAGACCAGCCTGGTCTACAGAGCTAGTTCCAGGACAGGCTCCAAAGCCACAGAGAAACCCTGTCTCGAAAAACCAAAAAAAAAAAAAAAAAAAAAAAAAAAAAAAAAAAAAAAATTTCAACAAGTAATTTAGGAGTATAGACACTTAATCATTAAACATCATAACTTAAGCATTGATCTAAGGCAAAGGGATCACTAGCAAAGTTATTTATTTCCCTAAAATAAAAGCATTATGCTATAATCCAGAATCTCAAATAATGTTCCCAGAATATATAATAATTGCTGACCTTTCAGGATTTTTCTATTACTATATTAACTCAAAATCAGCTTATAAATCACCACTATCTACAACTTCACAAGACAAATCAGAAGGTAGAAATATTTTAGACAAAGAGTAATACCATGAGAAATTTTGTAATACTTATTACTTGCTTTTTATGTTTCAAAGTAGAATGTTATTTGTCTATTTATTCAGTTATTTACCCACTAGGGCTAGAACTCCAAAAATACAAGTACCCAGGGTTCTCCTTATTAGTTTCTTTAAAAGAAAAATAAGCAGAGGATTACTTCATGGTAAAAGTTAGGCGCAAAACAGTCACACACACACACACACAGTAAAAAATTAATGCCTTTCTCTTCATATTTTATTTAGCAACTCTCTAGTATCAGGTTCAAATTCTATACCAATACTCTAGTACCGATCTACATTTTAAGCCCTTATTCTGACTCCACAGGTCAGTACTACCAAGTGTTGAGAAAGCATAGAATTCCCCTAGGAAACTGAACAATCACAGAGAAGAAAGGAACTGTTTCATTTAAGAAGCATAAAAGTATCTTCACTGGGCAGTGGTGGTGCATGCCTATAATCCCAGCATTCAGAACACAGAGGCAGATGGTTTTGTGAGACTGAGGTCAGCCTGGTCTACAAAGCAAATTCCAAGAAAGACCCGAAAGCTACAGAGAAACCCTGTCTTGAAAAACTAAAAGGTATCCTCTATTTACTGGAAAATGCCTGGAACAGCAGGTATTTTTAACCTATATCTTTTTTTTTGTTGTTGTTTGTTTGTTTGTTTTGCTTTGCTTTTCAAGACAGGGTTTCTCTGTAGCTTTGGAGCCTGTCCTGGAACAGGCTGGCCTCGAACTCACAATGATCCACCCGTCTCTCCCTCTAAATTATCAGATTAAAGGCGTGTGCCATCACTGCCTGGCCTTAACCCATTTTCTTATTTATACCTTACACTATCCAGAAAGGATTTGGTTTTCCTAATTTGAGAGATTACAAAAGAATGTATAACTTGTCCAAAGTCAAAACTAAAAACTGTAGTGCTGCAAAGATACATGAATTCAACAGGTGCCCATTCTACTACACCATACTGGCTGTGAGCCATGCATGCCAGCAGGGGTAGATTTAGTAGGTTAAAAAAAGAAAAGGATGGGTTCAGTCAGAAACCATCAAATCAAGGCTATAAAAATGTTAGCATACAAAATAATAATATCTTGTACAGCTTGAAAGAATTTGTAGATAACTACACTTTGCTGTTAAGGGTCATAATAAGGAGCCTGAAATCAGAAACAGTAGTGATTGTATTATTTCTCCTCAGTATAGAACAATAAAAATATAATCACTCTATTCTCCTTACCAGTTTTCCATCAGAGCAGAGGATTACCTCTTAGTCGCTCCCATGATTAAGTTCAGTATACTGAAACACCACAGCATGGTCTTACCTCCCTATCTGTACATTTACTAACACAACACACAAATATAGTGAGTATTTCAAGACTGCTACAGTCAACTCAATATCACCTAGACTTAAATCCCAGCACTCAGGAGGCAAAGGCTAGAGGACTGTGTGATCTAATACTGAGTTCCAGGCAAGCAAGAGCTACAATCTGAGTCCCCAGCTCAAGAAACAAAAATAAAAACAAACAAACAAAACAACAACAAAATACCAATTGAATAAAAAGATAAAATGACACTAGGCAGTGGTGGCACACACCTTTAACCCCAGCACTCAGGAGGCAGAGGCAGGTGAGTTCCAGGCCAGGCAGGGATATGGAGAAACCCTGTCTCAAAAAAACAAAAACAAAACAAGCAAAAAATGGTTAGCTACTGAATGCCAAAAACAAACACGTAAAATCTATGACCCAATTACCATTTTTCTGAAGTTTAGGAGTAGCCTGATATCTGAATCTCAATGTTTTCATACAAAATTACACTCAACAATGTTCTAAGAATGGCAAACACGCCATACAGCAAACAGCACCAGAAGACCTAAAGATAAAAACTATCATTATAAACTATACTGACCCGAGTCAAAAGTAGCCATATGCAAACCCATACATATATATTTTAGCTTCAGAGTGTTCAGTGGTGGAAAAACCCAATCTTTACTACTAAAATAAGGAACAGGCAGTTTCCTTAATTCCAATAGAGTATACACTGGAGGTATTAGACAACACCACTAGACAAGAGAGACCCAGAAGCAGACTTAGCAGAACATTCATCATCTTGAGTGACTTTCAAATCTAAAGAACAGACAGACTTTTAGACCCACTTAAGATTCAAAAAAAAAAGAAAGGCAAAAAGGAAAATTATAGAAAAATAAGAATTCCCAAGAGTACAGGGGCAGAAGAAATAAAAGAGTGACGTTGACAGTATAAAACCATAGCAGTTTAGTTTTCTGGAGGTAGAAGGATTACTTGGTTTTCAGGGTTGCCACGAACTATTACTTATGTGCCTATCATTCTTCTCTTCCATGAGATCTTTATTGTGGCGCTCCCATTTTAGTTCTAACACTCTGTGTTAGCTTTGTGGTGCACATATATTGACGATGTCTTCTAAATTCAGACTTTAGTATCAAGAGAAGTCACAAATGGACTTGATAATGTATGTCTATGTCATCACAAGATCCTGGTTCAAGATTAAGTACATATACAGGACGTTTTAAGTTACTGATAAAAAAAAGTACACTTTACATATAGCAGGGATATGAACAACTGTGGTCAAGAAAGTGAACTGCGATAGAATGGATTCTTGATTTCAGTATATTACTTTGCAGTAAAAACTGTTAAGTTGGGCGGTGGTGGTGCACACCTTTAATACCAGCACTTGGGAGGCAGAGGCAGGTGGATCACTGAGTTTGAGGCCAGCCTAGTCTACAGAGTGAGTGCCAGAACAGGCTCCAAAGCCACTGATAAACCCTGACTCAAAAAACAAAACAACAACAAAAAAAAACTACTTTTTTGTTGTGGTTTGGGAAGGCTTAAGGTTTTTGGCTTTTTTAAACAGTGTGTCATAACTGACCTCGGTTTGCCTTGAACTTGGAGATCTATCTGCATTTTTCCCCATCGCTTGTGCCACCACCACCAGCTCCCTTATAGAAAACTTGTCGTGTAATTTTGCAGTAAAGGAAAAGCTGTAGCAAGGGCAACTCAACATGCAAACAGAATAACTCAGCAAAGCTTTATTCCTAAAACTGCAGTTTCAGAGAGCTATCAGACGTTGGTTTCTGGGATGCCTAACTTACATGTAAGAATCTTTGATGTTTGTGTTATTCCTATTAACTTGTTAGCTATGTCCATCATCTTAGAAGCAAACAATATTGTTACACAAAATTATGGGAACATAATTCATGGAGTAATAAGTTCCTTACATCATACAATTCTAGAATTACAGAAGGATATTTGGAAATTTCAGACTATTTCAATGTTCTAGATGCCAAAATGTGGTCTACAGACCAATATTCTTGACCAGTTTAATGCAAAAAAAAAAAAAAGAAAGAAAAACAAAAGGAAACTTTTTAAACGATAAAAGCAGCATGGTAACCAATTTAATTCTGAATTTAATAACAAAAATGAGAAAGACAAGGGGTTTGTAGCTCAACAGTACTGCACCTGTTTAGCATATGAGGACATGGATTCATTCTCTAATACGATTAAATGAATAAATAAGTAGAGAACTTTTATTTTTAACATCTTTCATTATCACTCTTTATAGACTGCTTTACTGAAACTACCAACAACCTCCACAATGTCTGGAGGAGTAATTTTTTGAGTGTGAGAGAGACTCACGTGTGTGTGTGTGTGTGTGTGTGTGTGTGTGTGTGTGTACCAAGCAACCATATAAAGTTCCTAACCTTCCATCTCTCTTGAGGTAGAGTCTCTTATTCACCACTGAACACAGGCTAACTGGTTCACCTGTCTCCAACTCACTGTAGCTAACTGGAATTACAGATGTGCACTAATGCCAGAACTCTAGCACCTACACTTCCAAAACAAGAATGTCAGACACTGAGCCTCCTCCTCGGCCCTAGTTTTTCATTTTGTTCTGGAGCTATGAATTCTCCTGTCTCAGCCTTCTGAGTACTAAGAGCACAAATGTGAACTACTACACCCAGCCTTCCAAATGCTTTTCTTGAATGCTATATTTTATTCTTCTGGACTATTTCACAAACCGTTCTACTTTCTGAGGCACCAACACTCTTAGTCTCCCATTCAAACTCCTAAACATATGTTATTATATGTCTAAGACATGAAAATATTGGACTTCTCTCTTCCTAACAGAAATTCTTCAGGTCCAAAACATCATGACTTTTACCCTCTTCTTCTTATGTACAGATAATTTCTAATATAATTCTCAAATATTTATTTCTAGCACAAACCTCCCTTTTGAACTCCATATCTACTTCTGAAGCACCTGACTATCCTTCAAGGACCAGAAACTCAAAATGCTCACCTGAAAACCTAGTAATCTTG